ATAAAAGCAAGAACAAAGCATTTGTCTTGAGTGATTTTTTTTTTGATACATAATAAAAACTAAAATGACACCTGCTGTTGGTTATTTGTTTTTGTTTTTTTTTTTTTCTGTCTCTAACTTGAAATTTTTTAACTATAAATTTGGGAAATTTTTTAACTATAAGTTTGGGTCCTAGATAAAACCCTGGGCCAACTGTGCTAAGGATTTACTCCCCATCTCACAAATTCTACCATGCTAATTATTCCTTGATCATTTAGAAAGTAATCTTGGTGAATGAAAAGAACAGCAGAGCCCTACATATCCTGTAATTTGTTTTAAGTATTTCTTCATTCTGGATTTTTCAAATGAGCAATTATTAATGACAAACACATGGTACATGATCATTATAAGAGTTACTAGAATCATTTGACTTTTTTTCTCCTTTAAACTGCATTGTTTTTAGTATAGAATTTTTGTCTATTGTTGTTAAGTCCTGAGTGTCATAGGTCCCCCACAGATTGTGGTATTTTGGGAAATTATGGAACCTTTAGGAAATGTGACCTAGTTAGAGGAAGTAAGTCAAGGTGTACCTTTTAAGCTAGTCCCTGGTCCCTTGCTCACTGCACTCTGCTTCCCACCATGATGGGAATTGCTCTGTTCTGCCATGCCCTGTCATTCATGAGGTACCAAGTCTTCTGACAGCATGAGCAAAAATATATCTTCCCTTTAAATTGTTTATGTCAGGATAGTTGTTTGCCACCATATGGTGCTGGGAATTGAATTGAACCCAGTTGCTCTACAAGAGTAGCCAGTGCTGTTAACCACTGAACCGTCTCTCCAACCCCCTCTGTGTTATTGCTGAACTGCTTACCGTATACACCTGGATGTGCCACCTGTACTGAAATTTGAATGAGTATTATCTGAACAAGTGTAACTCCCCGCCACAAATTCCAGATTTTTTTTGTAGTGATTTCATTGAAAGCTTATTCATAATCACAATTCTATTTTAAGCATATAATTAAATGATTTTTATGTAGAGTTGTACAATCATTATCAATTTTAAAATGTTTTCATCTCCCTAAAAAGAAATCCACTACATTTACCTGTTAATATATTTTTTTAATTAAAAAAAAATTTTTTTTTTAATTTTATGTGTATGTGTGTATTGCCTACGTGTACGTAAGTGCACCCGTGTCATGTAATGCCTGTGGAGGTAAGAAGAAGCTGTTGGATCCCCTGGGACTGGAGTTACGGACAGTTGTTAACCTCCATGTGGGTGCTGGGATTTGAACCCCGCGTCTTCTGCAGGAACACTGGTTGTTCTTAACTGCTGAGCCATCTCTCCAGCCCCTACCTGTTAATATTTTTACACCTAGTAAGGGCTCAGTAAATATTGGTTGGCTGTAAAAGTATCATGAAAAGTAAAAGAAGAGTTCCAAGTACTGTCAACAGTTTTCTTAAGAGCTGAAAGAACAATTGAAGGTAAGGATTACGGATGGGTAATATGCTGTCATTTGTTTATAGTATAGCATACTTAGGTCTTTAAAAAAGTATTTGGTTACAAAACTAGGAAACATTGAAAGAAGGAGGTAATTTTAAAAACCTAACCTAGCCAGGCATGGTGACACATGCCTGTAATTCCAGGACTCAGAAGGCAAAGGCAGGTGGATCTCTGTGAGTTCCAAGCCCTCTGGAGCTATATAGACAACAAAAACCTGCACAGTGTAAAAAATGTCAGCTATATAATTAGTAGCTTTAAACTTAACTAAGGTAATCAAAATTGAAATTGTAGAAGGAAGATCCTAATATAGGAGATGACAGATTACAAAATGGTTTTAAGTACCAGTTTTATAGGTCTTCAAATTTTTTATCTGCATCTGATATAATTATACATGTATCTGATAGGATCTCTTCATAAGGTGAGTTAAGTGCTCTGAGTAATGAACTGGAGTTATTACTAAATATAGAATTTGGAGGTTGTCTTTAACAGAATAGTGTGCATTGTCTTTCAACATACTTTCAAGTCATAGGCTAATTGCAGAAGATACATGCTAAAAGTCTATAATCAGTCCTCTGAAATCTCAGTCTACAGCAGTCAAGCATAAAGATGTCTCTTACTAGGCTAGCTGGTATTTAATTGGTCTAGGGTTTCAAAGAAATCTACCTGGTTACTAGCTAGTAGATCTGTAGGTTCTGTTTTGTGAAACTTTAATTTATCAGGAATTTTATTCTGATCTGTTACAAAAATAAAATTAATAATCCTAATGCCTCAAAGTTGCCTTTCCTATGAAGATGGTAGAAAATCTGGAGTACTAGTAAAGCATGTGCTTTGAGTTGCTTTCTGATAGTGATGTTGGCTTGAGGTAAGCCATTTATGTTGCTTATGACCCCATTTGGTCTACAGAGTGGTATGAGATCACTAATTAAGACCAGAGTTATAGACTCTTACCAAGTTATTGTAAAATGTTCATCTTGATTGCAAGATTATTGTTTCTTCTTTGCATATTACAGAATGTCATGTTCTATATTTCCTCATTTTAAAAATGTAGTCTGAAATACAGTGACTTTTGCATGTAAACAGTGCTGCATCAATTTGATTGCTTCTTCAGGTGGGCAGATAAAGATCAGAAAACTTCAAGACGGTTATCCAAAAGCTGAGTCCTTAATTTGACAGAAGGGAATACAGATAACTAGAGAAATAGTTTAGGGCCATGTCATAGTTGATGCTATGACTTAACTAGACCCGTTTTTCCAAGCAACTATTCATTTTTCACAGTTTGAATTCTTACTCAAGAGAATCTTACATGATAAAATGTTAAGATAATAAAGCTTATTTAATGATAGTTACAAATGAGTAGTTTCATTGAAAGACTGCATCTTACCTGAATTTTGAAAGATAATCATCATGAAGAGCTTTTTCTAAAGGTGAATAATTGTGATTAAAAGTTAATATGATGTTGGGGCTGGAGAGAATATTAAAAGTAAGTATTGTTATTACATTAGACAATTACAAAATGTTTAGATACTAATGTTTGTTTTCACTAATTCAACTCCAGCTACATTCATTTACTAGCCAAATTGTGTCAAGTAAATTTAACACAAACTGTTAGGATATCAGATGTAGTACCATATTTCACTGAAGTATTTTAATATGTTTCTTTAGCTTTTGAGAGGCTGTAAGTGATGTGAAAGCAGTGAACCTGATGAGAGAAAGCAGTTCTCTAAGCGTTGCATCTACCTTTAAAATAATGAGTTCCTTTTAGTCAATTGCTTTTGAGAGGCTGTAAGTGATGTGAAAACAGTAAACCTGATGAGAGAAAGCACTTCTCTAAGAGTTACTTAAGAATTGCATCTATCTTTAAAATAATCAGAGTTCCTTTTAGCCAGTTATTTCTTCCATATGTCTCCGAAATGTTATGGTTTAGTTGGTCATGTATTTGACCTTTTATAGTGGACCAGAGATTGCATTATTTGGGAATCTCCTTAGAAATGACTAAATGTTTTCCAGATGACCATCCTGTTAGAAATCATTGCTTTCAAACCAGGAGATTTTTGTAGACTTGTTTTTCTATTGGAACCCAGTGACCTAAAAGAATTGGCCCTCTGGGCAATTTCCTTCAGTCTCCACAGTACAAATAAATCATGAAAACAACTTGGGATTAAATATGATCTTTATTTATACTGTTCTTATTTCCAAAACTTGAGTTTAGGCTGCCAAGGTTTCTTAGTTTTTCTGCTTTGTCATAAATTAACACAGGACTTTTCCAAATGTAAACTTCCATAAGCAGTGGACATAGAATGAGAACCACTCATCCGCTAAATTTGGCACCAATATCCTGCTTTATACTTTCTTAAGGAAAGTAAAAATCAGATTTGAAAAGAATAAAATAGATTCTGTGTTGCCTTTATCCCTTTATCTTTCATCATGTAGCTTAAACTTTGAGGATTTTAAGCAATTCAGTGAAAATACATTATGAGAATATATGAGCCCTATGATGTATTGAAACAAACAAACAAAAATTCCCCTCTTTATGATTCAATTGAATGTTTAAGAAAAGAAAAAGTACCAAGAAATGCTTGTAAATGTCATCTGAAATAATTGCTGAAAGACATCGTTTGTGTGTATACCTTATGATTCCTTAATCAAAGAAAAGTAAAGGGTTATATATCATCACATTCTACATAAGACTCCCCAGGTAATCTGGAACATAATTTGGCTTGGCAAAATTTCTAAAAGTAGGTTTTAGAATAAGTTCTCTAATAATAAGTTACCTCTCTGCAGATGAGGTTAGGAAATTGAAGAAATAATACATAAAACAGCCTTTTACAACAGCAGAACACGTCAAAAGATTATTAAAAATACGTATCAGAAATAGATGATTGGGATTGGTGCATCTTAAGTTTTTAGCATTTTTG